TACCTTAACTTAGTAACTTGAGTACCTTCAGTGTGACTGAGAAGGTAGTGGGCGGCGTGTGGGGGGGGGGGGGAAGGTGGATAGGGGGGGAGTCACACCACCTGAGGATGGGGGGGGGAGGGGAATCAGACCTACTCCCCCGGGTAGTAAGCTCCTCGCCTCGTTACTGGGGCAGCTGTCAGGGAATATCCCCCACACAAAAAACTGCCACGACCCTACCACCAGTTCAGGTAGGTTTTGATGCCTCTCGAGGCAGCGAGGCAACAGCCCTCACACCACAACCACATATCAAATGTCCTCCCTGAAAAAAACTAGATTTAAAAAAAAATGTTTTCAGCATGGTTACAAAAAAAAATGTGGTATTTGAAGTAGTGTAACTTCAGCTTCCGTGGCCTCCTCCTCCTCCTCCTCCTGCCTTTGTTTCAGCGGGATACGGCCAAGGGGCTGAAACTGTTGTTTGTGGAACGTTGAGTTCTACATGTGTTCAGTAGAGGAAGCCTCTGACTGCCTTCCCTCTTCGGCGTGACTGTTCAGGAGGCGTCAGTTCGGCTGACCATCAGCTGCCCGAGATGGTGGCATCCTGGCAGGTTCACAACACTCCCTGCATGAAGATCTAAGCTTGGGGGAAAAGGAGTTAGCATTCCTTTTCAATCCTTTTAAAGTGTGAAATAATTTCCTCGAAACAATCAGTCTTAGGTGTGGTAAAAGGTCCACTTCATCAGAAGCTTGCGTGATCGCCTCAGGCGGTAATGTGCTGCTAAGGGCACCTACATGTTCGGATCCCATTGCTGCAATCCTCAAAGGATAAATAACATCAGGAGGTTCGAAGACAAATTAGGGGTTTGGGATGCCCACGATGCTATGTACCTCTTCACACGGTGTATGGGCTCAACTATTTCCTATTTTCCTCTGTGATAAACCTCTCCCTGAAAGGGACGAAATGGGACCAATTAACGCTTACAATTAGACTCGTGGCATAGGTATCCGTAAGAATATATATATATATATATATATATATATATATATATATATATATATATATATATGGGGGAAATATGTGGTCAAAAGTCTGAGTTGTGGTCCAATATGATGGTGATGTGACATGTTTTCTTAATAATTTACAATATTCTCGTTTTCTTGTAGAGACCCAAGTTCCGGCGCCTGAGAGAGCGAGGCCGCCCACAACACCCATCCCTCCCCTCGACGCCCATGCCTCCACGCCCGTCCAGGTCTACCAGGTGAGAGAGAGAGACAGATAGACCTGATAGAGAGTAGATATACCATCTTCGAAGTACCCGGTAACGCGTTCCCTTCTGCAGGTGTGTGTGTGCCCTAGTGGACGCCTGTTCCTGGTCACCGCTGCCTCCGCCTGCGTCCCCGACGACGACGTCTGTCGCTAGCTAAACTTTCGTGGGGACACCTCGCTCTTCCACCAGTATTCTTAGCCTTCTCTTCCTCCCACGTCTCTTCCTCCCATGGCTCTTCCTCCCACATCTCTTCCACCCACTCCTGCCACGAGATGAAGACCTGTCAACCTGCAGAGGACGTCGTTCGTCATCGGAATTAAGACATTTTTTCTTGGCGGGAATTGTGGCGTTGCGTCCTGTCGCAGAGGAGGACACCGCACCTCGCTGAGAACTGTTTAAGCGAGTACTCCTGCTGCCTCGGCTTGCTTGGTTATGCTGCTTCTGGCTTCCGTCTGCTGCCTCGTCTTGATTTAGGCAGGAGGTTGCCTTCGTCTGCTACCTCTTACCTTCGTCTGCTGCTTCATACCTTCGTCTGCTGCCTCTTCGTCTGCGTACAGGGTAATCAGTAGAAAGGGCTAAGTCAATAGCAGGTAATCGTTCGAGGGGGGTCTTCTCTCCTCATCTTCAATATAAACAAAGCTGTAACTTGTATCTAGGAGTTGTACTCCACCTCCTGGTCCTCCACATCTCAGCATCACTCCTTTCAAGCTGTCTCTACCTCCTTCAAGAAGCCTTTACCCCTTCAAGATAACCTTCCCACCACCCAAGTGTTCACTGGGCTCACTCACACTAGAGAAATTAATGCGATCTTGTCACACTGCAAAGGAGATGATAATGGTATGGTAATCGTCAGTAGAAAGGGCTCAGGTTAGTATGACTACACAGCACTCTGAAGAGATGTGAGGACAAGACGGATAGATAGGACGGAAGGGAGGAATGGTGTCCAACCAATTGGACCTTCGGGGATGGAACGCCGACCAGCAAGAAGCGAGGCCGTCGCTGTACCAACCAGTCCAAGTGTTCCAAACGTTGCTTGGATCTGGGGATTGAAATGGCGTATTCAAAAAGCTTATAAGAAGTGTATTGAACATTCGTCGAATGCCGACAAGGTCTAATCTTTCACATATAATGGCTTTCCATTAATAAAACAAGTGTAGGATTTGTTTAATAAAACACTTCTTAAGGTCTCACATGTATGTGCTTATGAGAAGATAAGAATAAATGACTACCCTAGGCCTATTGACCCATACGAGGCAGCGCCTATTCATATCCAACCAAACTTATTCATATATATGTCTAACCTACGCTTGAAACAATCCATCGGTCTAATATGTCATTCAAGTAACAAAATTATCCAATACGCATAGACAATACACACACACACACACACACACACACACACACACACACACACACACACACACACACACACACACACACACACACACACACACACACACACACACACACACACACACTGCTAAAGGCTACTCAACACAGCGTACAACTCTGGCCACTATTATGTAGCATGTGTCAACACCGTCTAGCTTAACACTATACATGAGGTACTGGCAACTCCGGCACAGTTACCCTTCACTTAACACACAGTAGTGGAGACTGGGCGCTCGTGTGTTGATGGGCAAGGTTCACAACCTGTCTACTTGCTGTTTGTACTTGTTTGTTGCTGGTGTTTGTTTGTTGCTTGTATTTGTTTGAGGGAGAATAACTGAACTTTCTGAGGTTCAGCGCAAATTTCTTTTATTTAGTTCTTTTTACTACTGCAATCCCCTTCATTTACTCACTCACTCACTCACTCACTCACTCACTCACTCACTCACTCACTCACTCACTCACTCTCTCTCTCTCTCTCTCTCTCTCTCTCTCTCTCTCTCTCTCTCTCTCTCTCTCTCTCTCTCTCTCTCTCTCTCTCTCTCTCTCTCTCTCTCTCTCACATTGCCAGTCTGCCTGTCTCTTGCCTTATCGTTATCAATCTCGCTGTGAGAAGTCCAGACGGGTTACCGCAGTGCCTTACTTATCTAATTCCTTGCACGGCACACAGCCAATATGGTGAAGTGGTGTGGTGGAATGTTGGTGGTGGTCTGGTTATGGTGGTGAAATGTGGTGGTGGTGAGGTGGGGGAATGTTGGTAGTGGTGTGGTTGTGGTGGTGAGGTGGTGGTATGGTTGTGGTGGTGAGGTGGTGGAATATTGTGGTGGTGTGGTTTGGGCGCATGGTGGTACACCGGTTCGGTGGAGTGTGTTGGTGGGTGGAATTTATTGATGGAATGGTAGTGGGATGTTTTGTGTAAGGGTTGTGTGGTGGTGATGGCATTAATGTGCAGTTATGGCAACAACACTAGTCTGAAAATGCAACAATGGCATAGTGTTGACATGTCGTCCTATTATGATGGTGTTGTAATGGTTTAATGGTGTGGCAGTGGCGTTAAGGTAGCGTGGTGGGAAAGTGGTGATGTATAACGGAGTTGTGGAGACGACGAAGGAAAGAAAAAAAATGGAAAAGAAGCAGAAGATGGCACGCTTCAAGAGTTTCAGAGTACAACATTCCTGCTCCGTGTACGACAATCATAACACCAGTAACAACGGTTGCATACGATACCGCAGTGTCTGGCTGGCCACTGATGCTATGGCGCCCCAAATTGGATAAGCGCCTTGGCAAAGATTACGCAGGAGGGAGGAGGAGGAGAAGGCACCAAGAGGCGGGAAAAGGAGCGGATAAAGGAGGCGGGAGAAGCTGCATTCAAGGAGCCAAGGAGTCTGCTAAGGTTCAAGTGTATCCTCCAAGCGAACAAAGATTTTTAACGTGATTGGCATGCGGTAGACTTCAGACACTCCTGTGTCCTTGAAAAGTGGTGGAGGTCCTACTCCGGCCCCCCAGCGTCGAGAGACAACTTTAAGTTGTCAATTATATCGACTATGATATCAACTATGATATGATACAACTAAATATCAACTATATTCAGTTTATATGTCACGAGGGTACTCCCTTGTGACATATAAAGTTAATTTCAGCCACTAGGCTAGAATACGTGCGCAGTACAAATATAAAAATAAATATATATTGTATTTATGTAATCTATAATTATATCAAAATTCTAAATAATTAACATTTCCAGGAGTTTACTATGTAAAATACCGTAAAAAATTTGTTTGCCACAGACCGTTTATCACATTATTGCACACACACACACACACACACACACACACACACACACACACACACACACACACACACACACACACACACACACACACACACACACACACACACGCACAACAGGGCTCATGTCGGCGCAGAAACATCTCGTCAGTTCAATATAAGACATGCCTGAACTTGACTCATTAATCCGAGTGGAAATGCAGATTCCGAATGCAATATAAAAGAGAAAAGAGCTTTTGGTATCCAGAAATCCGTTGGAAAGAAGATCATTCAAATTTCAAATGCCAACTGAAAAAAATGACATCGTGACAAAGAGACAAAAGTTGAGCAGGTGAAGATAAAAGAAAGAGATACTAGATAAGAAGAGAAAGAGATTAAAGACGAAAAATAGATTGGAGATAAAACTTGTGAATAGAAAGAAACCTAATGACATAAGAAAAAAAAATGGAATATAGTCCAGTGGGCTTCGTTTTCGCCTCCCGATCGGGAATCCCGGGTTCGACAGAAATGGGAATTTGCCGGATCATGTTTGGTTTCACCTAATGCGTCTGTTCACCTAGCAGTAATAAGTACCCTGGTGTTAGGCAAGTATTGTGGGGGGGGGGCCCTATTTATAACTACAGTATAAATATACACAGGCTTCCTGTCCCTGATAAATGAATTAATATGGAAAACCCCCAAATATATTGAACTTTATAATCGGCCTCATTAATATTTTTTAGTACTCACCATCAATCCAATGTACTATAACCAGTTTGTATTTTTATTTATAAATAAATAATACTATTATTCTTATTATCCTCCCCCCTCTTCCCCTTACCCACCCAACTCTACCCACTTACCCCATTTCCTTGCTCCCCTCCCCCCCCCATACCCTCCAAGAGGAGGGTATTGATACCCACAACACATGGTGTGGCTCTGGCGACGGCTTTGAAGGTATTCTGAGACCTCTTATCGGTATAGCTGAGGTCACCTGCGAAGTGAAGATGGGAATGGTAGCGTGGGTAAGTGAGAAGGGGGACTGGCGACAAGGAAGGGGAAGGGGGAAGGTAAGGGAAGGAGGGTAGGGGAGACCAAAGGGAGGAATACAGGTGAGAGAAGAATGATAGATAGAATTGACATTAGAGGAGAATAAAGGAGCGGGAAGGAGGGAAAGGGTGATAAATGATGTAAAGGGGAAGAGGGAACTTAGGGAAGGGTTAAAGATGTATACGTAAAACATCTCTAATCTGGCTGAAACGTCGAAATATGCATTAAAAACAGGATTTCTCTCCTTATCATTATCTCAAACTATGTTAACGTTGTACAAATTAATGATTGAAAGGTAAGAGAGAGAGAGAGGAGATGAGGATTGAGGAAATGATGACGTTAAGAGTGTAAGGTGGAAATGTGAGGCTTGGGAGATATTTGAACGAGCCTAATATGCGAAAAAATGAGGTATATATATATATTTAGAGCCATAAACACACACACGTTAAATATACATTAAGTATATAACCAAATATACATAAAAAAAATCTATCAGTTGTGAATCATATGTAACATAACCAGATGTACCATGTTTTTCATGCATATACAGCTTAGATTAACGCACATTTGACCAGTGTTTAGAACGCCATGCCAAGCCTGAGGACAGGGCTGTGAGCTAAGTATTTTTTCCCATCAACGGAGAAATAAAAGTGATAAACTGACTCAATCAAACTCCAGGTAGACGTAGGAGCACACACGTGCCGTCACGACTAAGCCTCTAATGAGACGAAGAGAACCAATCAAAACCGTGATTAACGCCAGGGCGGAGGGTGACGTCACGAAAGAAGAAATGTGATTGGTCGTCGCTAGGCAACTTGAGCAAAGGAGACTGATTTCGAGCGGGAGTTTTGTCACAGTGTCAGTCGTGCCCCGCCTGTGACGGGCGTAACACGTGGCGGGTGACGGTGCTGCTGCTGCTGTAGGAGGTGTGTAATTCATGGTCACTCTCAAGGTTTAAGAGGACGAGTATAGACTACAAGAGGTAAGTTTAAGACATAATTTGTTTATATATTTGTATTTTATTAACAACAAATCAGTTAGATATTGATATTTTAAAGTTTGGTAAGGATTGCGTAGTACGAAATGCTATTTACACCATCTTCTGTAGTGTCACTGGGGTCACACAGGTCACTGGGGTCATGGACTGATGCTCGACCTCCAAGGCTCTTTTATTTCTCCAGCAAATTTGTCTGGTTTATAAGGCTCTTGTCCTGCAAGTTTGCTTGGTTTACAGGGACGTATACCGAGAGGTTTGCTTAGGTTACATCTTGCAAGATGACACGATGGTTGCAGATACAGGGGAGACAGCCAGCTAGCTGGGTGCTAAGGAGTTGTGTGTGCTGCTAAGACCACAAACTACTACTAGAAGGCTTCAACAACCTGTTCTCTCACCCAATACGTGTCATAGACAATACATAGACGTGTCATAGACAATACATAGACGTGTCATAGACAATACATAGACGTGTCATAGACAATACATAGACGTGTCATAGACAATACATAGACGTGTCATAGACAATTCATAGACGTGTCATAGACAATACATAGACGTGTCATAGACAATACATAGACGTGTCATAGACAATACATAAACGTGTCATAGACAATTCATAGACGTGTCATAGACAATACATAGACGTGTCATAGACAATACATAGACGTGTCATAGACAATACATAGACGTGTCATAGACAATACATAGACGTGTCATAGACAATACATAGACGTGTCATAGACAATACATAGACGTGTCATAGACAATTCATAGACGTGTCATAGACAATACATAGACGTGTCATAGACAATACATAGACGTGTCATAGACAATACATAAACGTGTCATAGACAATACATAAACGTGTCATAGACAATTCATAGACGTGTCATAGACAATACGTAGACGTGTCATAGACAATACATAGACGTGTCATAGACAATACATAGACGTGTCATAGACAATACATAGACGTGTCATAGACAATACATAGACGTGTCATAGACAATACATAGACGTGTCATAGACAATACATAGATGTGTCATAGA